AAAAAATATTTCAAAACACCTTGCTTAGGGGTTTGGAGTTGAAGAAAAGAGGAGAAGAGGGAAGAAAGCTAGTTGAGGAAGAAGATGGGCATGAACCGTTAAGAGAGAGTCGGGCAACCCTCGCTAAATCAGGCATATCCTTTTGAATACTTGGATTTCAGCTATGAAGCCACCACCATTGGAAAGCTTACTTCCGGGGCTTCATTTTTCACTTAAGAATCTCCTAAAGCCGAGTCCGGATGGGGGAGATATGATTGGTTGAAGTTGGGCATCATTCCGGTTGGATCAAAACTAAGCAGCCTTCACTGAAAGAGGGATATTTCTTAGCACACATGGAATTTTGAGGTGAGGCTGCCAAATTTGAAAAGAAGACTTCTGAGGCTACAGTTTAGGCTCAAGAATGACCTGAAAAGGAGTCCAGATAAAGGAATTAGGCTTGCTTCAAGTCAGCAACTAAGGTTGATTTTTTCCATCGGCCACAATTTGACCTCAGCAGCTATGAGTCGGCCAAAAGTGAACCTTATCGGCCAAAAATGATGGCTAGTCGACACCAAAGATGGCCGGTCGGCCAGAAGTGTCCAGAAAGCCCAGAATTGGCAGATATTTCTCCTCCAGCTATTTCCAGCTTGTGCCACCTTTCCCAAATCAGATATTTCGACCAAAAAGCTTTGAATTGCTATATATGAAGCAAAATATCTCATATTCAACACTTAGAACTTCTTGAGCAAATTTTGAGAGCTCCTCTCACTAAAACTCCCTCTCTCTCTACAATTTTCAGTGTTTGATCTCTGCCTCTCTCTAAAGCCTCTCTCTCTTGCCCTTTGGTGCATAGAAGTTCATAGAAGTAGAGAAATACAACTCCTTTGCCTTGGCATCCTTCATCAAAGTTGCATATCCATGGGCTGAGGTCTCTTGGAACTGGTTTTTGGGCTGATAGATGGTCATTTGAGCCAAGAAAGAGACCCTTTTGCTGCTGTGCTACAAGGGTAAGCACCTCTCCTCTTTTGTATTTGTTTTGCACACTTACTTCACCACCTTTGCACATTACTTTGGGACTGTTTTTTTTGGGTGGTGTTGAACTACAAAAACCTCTGTTTTTTCTCTGTTTTTCAGTCCTAAAAGTCTTGATTTGTGCCTTGGTTGGCTAGGGGGTTGTCCTCCATTTTACTCCTTGGCTTGTAAGGCCTTGTGAACTAACTTTCAAACTTTTCAAGCAACATCCTTTTGACCTTAAAACCATTGAATTCCAGAGAAATTTCAGTGGTAGAAAACTTGTTTTGAGGCTCAAAATAGGAGGGGGTTGTCCCCCCTCCTCTTCTCTTGTTTGCTTGTATTGATGGCCCTCCAAAAGAGCATGTGTTTATACCATTTTGAGGCTTAGTTCAGACACTTTTTTGTGACTTTTAGGACCTTCTTTAACTCTGTCCATGGCTGGTTTGGTCACCATATGCATGCTTTATACACTTGTAATGTAATTCTTGCAAACTAGCCTTATATGCCTCATGAAGTAGCCTGTTTGTTAAGCATGTATGGGCTCCATTTCAGCATGCTTTTGGTCATTATTTAGCATGTCATAACTATGTTTAAAGTTGGTTTGATGGCCTCTTGCATGCTCCATGCACTTGTAGTGCATTTCCATTCACTAGCCTAATGTGTATCATGCTTTAGACCATCATTCTAGTGTGATTTTGGCTTAACTCCAAGAAGCTTTTGGCCATGTTTTAGCATGTTTAAGGTCTGATTTATGTTATTTTGGTTATGCATGCCATGCTTTGTATAGCCATAGTGCCTTTTAGCTTACTAGCCTTGAGTTTCCAAGCCACTAGCATGCATTGCTTGGGCTATTTGCATGATTTAGCATCATTTGGAATGATATTTCAGAGTATGTTTCATTGCCATGCCCTCACATTTTTCATTTTTTCAATGCATTGGAGAGTTCATGCTTTATGCCTTAAATATGAGCATATGTGTATGCTATCTTGCTTAGGCTTTTGGATCACCATTTCAATGTGTATTTGGTCCTATTTTGCCATGATATAGCTCTATTTTTGCTTGGATAGAGCATGCCTCATTTGCTTCTTACAGTTGTAGTGTAAGTCCCTTTTGCTAGTCTTACATGCCTAATGAGTGAGCTTGTTATTTTAGCATGTGTTGACTTGGTATTAGCGCATTTTTTATGTTAATTTGACATGTCATAACTCTGATTTTTGTTGATTAAGTCATCTCATGCTTGGCTTTGGTAGGTGTAGTGCAATCATCCTTATTGACCGTGTATGTGTCATGTTTTGTGCTCACCTTTCTAACATTTTTTGGCCTCATTCCATGCATGTTATAGCCTTGTTTTGGACTGTCTTGGGACTATTATGGGTCACCTTGGCCCTTTGAGGCTTGGTTGATATAGTCATGGTGTAAGTCTCTTGGCAAGCCTTAAGCTTTGAATCCATTAGCATGCTATGTTTATCACATGTGCATGATTTGGCATCATTCCTCGCATGATTTCAAAGCTTACCATATTCGTCGCATGTCCATACTTTTCATGCTTTTAAGTGTTCTTGAAAGTTGCCCTCCTATGCCTAGATGATAGGCCATCAAATATGCATGTCTGTATGTGCTTTTGTCTATCATTTCTTAGCACTTTGGCCACTGATTTGGGCATGCTTGAGAGCTACTCATTTTAGTTTAGGTCCATCTTACCATGTTGTTGCATACTTGTCTCATTTTGCATGTTGTTGCATGCTATACATGTTCATGTGATTAGGTTGTATGCCTATTGCATAGTAGATGCATTGCATGATATTGGTTGCATGTCGTTGCATACTTGAGTTGTTTGCATGCTTGCTTGCATGCTTAGGTTGCATAGCATTGTGTGTGCATCCCTTGCCTCTTGATCAAGCATGATAGAGGTTGGGACCCCTTATGTGTTTTTGTGCATTCCATTTGATATTGAATTGCACACTTGGCTCCTTTGGCCATCATGCATTGAAATGCGTAATTGGTGGTCCGAGGGTCGAGGACTACACTCCTTTGAGTCTCAAACATGATAAGGAGTGTGGTTGTGCAAACATTGTCTTATAAATGTATTGCCATGCTCTGTTTGTCCTCTGCTGCAACAACACAACATTCTGCAGGAAAAGATGGCCGATCAGCTATCTGCAGTGCTGGTCGGCTAAACATTGTTGGCCGAGAGCATTATTATTGGTCAATGGAACCTTTACCTTGGCCGGTGGCTATACCATTTGGTCGATGATCTCTCACAGGGTCCATGATCTGGTTCTGGAGCATCACAGAGACTTGTTCAATCTTCAGGGGAACAAAACAGTGCAAACAGAGACAACATGAGACATGACGATGGATTTCTGAGCGAAGCCGTCCGAGCATGCATTCATCCCTCATCTCGAGGCCATTTCAGTGTTTCAATAACTTAGAATAGTTATTATTTCATTTGGTTTTGTAATTAATTAATTAGCTTGTTAGTTAGTTAATTAGTTAATTTGTATTATTCTTTCAATTCCTCCGTCGAGAGGGCGCAGTTGTGTAATAAGCGTACGTGTGTGTGATGCATGTCTTCCAACCCCGTCTTCTTTCTCCCTTTTACTTAACCGCTTACGATGGTTAGTTTTAGGGCACGTTTAAATTAGCATCCTTATGTGATGCATGTTTGCATTCATTCATCTGTATTGCATACACCGGACTCGACGCATCATACTAACTGCATTGTATTTCAATTCCAAGTTGAATACATGTATCGAATTGCCGCATCTCATATGCCATTTTAGATTAGCCGAGCCTATTCTAGTTGCACTTTGTATGCGATGCATTAGCCATTTTAACATGAACTAGGATCATGCAAAATTTCTAACTGGTTTATTGTTTTGGCTCGGAATACACTATAAGTGTTTATGGTTTAACATCTTGCATGAGTGTGAATTTTGTCATGACAGCATGTTTGCCATGAGGCTAAGTGCTTAAATGATATAACTGTCTGAATGCCTGTGGGTGAATGTTGGATTACTTGAATTGGGACAATTCATTGAAATTCGTGTTTTAGCCTACTTGCGAGTAGCAAACTTCAAACCATTTCCAAACAAACGGATATGCGATGCTTTGCTCCAAATTAGGCGATCTAGTCTATACTTGTGTGTTGTGCGCATCACATAGTAATTCTAGCTAATTAACCGGAATAAGAACGCATGTGTTTTCAAAAACAAGATATCATGTTTAGTACAGGCCGATCTTCGGATCGGGCGAGCGGAGATGCTCATAGATGACCTTCTCCAATCGTACCCAAGTTCCCGAGCCGAGACAACTTTGGTGATGACGGACACGTTACCTTAGGCAACAAGTCAGGATTTCCTAAATTCCTCCAAAATAAAATATTTAAGTGGCGACTCTGTATCTGACAAAACAACCTATGTTTGGCACTTCTTTCTTAAAAATCAATTTTTCAAAACGATTTGCCGGATTTGAACTCTTTGGTGATTTATCGATCTTGCATTGCACTTTGCAAGATTAGATTCAGTACCGTGACATGAGTCCGAACTGTAGTAGCAAAGCCCTCGGGCGCGTCTACAAACATATTCTTATATTAAAGATTCTAATTCATCTCTAACATGTCTTGGGTAGTTATTATGGTCACTTCCCCCTTTCACTTTTCTACAAAACATCCCATTTCATACCATATTCTACTCAAGAAGTTACACACCTAGGTTTTCAGGCACATTGACGAGTCACAATTGGAATCATGTTGAGACTTCAATTTCATGGGAGGACAGTTTCCAAGTCATAAAGCAGCAAAAAGCTCAGATAGTTTCATAGTTTGCTAAAACTATGCGAGTTTCTACTTCTCACTGTCTACTAACAATAATGTTTCTTAGTCCTTTTCAAATTTCTTTTTATCTTTCTTGTTCACAATAAAACAGGATAGCTATTGTAACAACAGTAAATGAATATTTGGTTGGACTATGGTTTTAGTTCGAACTGCAAATTAAATGCTCCATTCATACAGGAAGACAATTCTCTAAGACCAGTACTATATATTCCAAATACATCTAGCACATAATATATAGCAAGGTGGGTAGCAATGTAGCGACATTACATATGCCCTTGAAGATGAAAGCAAGGAGTTGTCACTCAGTCAAGAGTACAAACTAAAGATCACAACATTAACAAAATGAGTCTTCAGAGAGTGTTTGTTTTCCACTTAAAACCCAGGATACCAAGGCCTAACAATCAGTATTACCTATTACGACGAGCATAGTGCCTTTCTGGGCTACCATAAGGAGAATATGGAAGCGACCTTGACCGCTCCCTTCTTGACCTTCCTCCATAAGGTGAGCGCCTAGGAGGAGAGTAATCACGACCACCACGATACGGTGAGCGCCTTGGGGACCTGCGATACCCATAGTCATCACGGCCTCCACGATACCTACCATGGTCACCGCGATAGCCTTTCACAAATACCAAAAAAAAAGATAATTAGAGCCTGTATGATAAAACTGAAAATTTAAGTGCTGAAAGCTTTAAACTAATAAATTTCAAATTCGGACATATTAATGTGACATCTGAAATTTTGAACACTCCATTTTATGAAAGTCTGATCATGCATCTAAATACATCCCCTCTCCACACCCACCACATGCATTGCCTTGATCAAAATTTTGTGGAGTTAATGTTCTTGCTTACTACATAATTTATAATTGTCCAGTATACCACAGGAAGGCAACATTGCCCTTGTATTGGGCTTAAGGAATCAAGATTAAAGGCTGACTGTTGCATAAAAGTATACACAAATATAAATGGATAGAAATGAACACGTGAAATGGAATATGACATGACAGACATGAAAAAACATAATTTTCTACATACCCAAAACACATATTTTGTAAAAATCTTTAATATTATATTATATTTGCCTTTTATTTTGTTTCACTTTTTCTTCATAAATGATGCTCCAAAGAAATGAAGATGGATGGACTTGAGGCTTGCACCCATCTGATCATCTCTGAACAACCCATAAAATTAAAACATTATTTCGGCCCATGGAAATTGGTAAGCAATCAAAACAGGTGCCTGAAAAGCTGCCATGTAGAAAATTGCAAAGTGATAAACATGGGATCTTAAAAACCACAATTTGTCTTCTATAAAAAGGGAACATGCTTTAGTCAGGCCTTTCACAAATAATAGATTATCTTTCTATCGAGTCAAACAATGTGATGAGAGATTGTGGAAAGATAGCCTTGACGACAGTGTCACTCTTGCCAATAGTCTCTTTATCTTCAAAAAAATTAAAAATGAAGGTATGGAAAAAAATATTGAAGGTGGGCTGTTTTATTTTGGGAGTTGACTATTTGTAGTGAAAAGATGGCATCTGGGTATGCTCATTTGTTGAGTGAATTCTCTAGTGTGCCAATTTTTGTGAGATTCTATAATATTCTACAAGAAATTAGGACGAATGATGGTCAAGCTATGTGGCTATAGTTGTCGGTACACCTTTGTACCTTGATGAGTATACTCACTCTCATGGTAGGCTTATCTTTACAAAAGAGTGCATTGAAGTTCAAGTAACTTCAGATATACCAAAGTCTTTCATGATGAATTTAGTCTATGGTGAGCCTTATGAGAGGTACTATGGAGACCACAAAAGTGTGATGGTTGCAAGGCCATTGGTCATGCCACAATTTATTGTCCTTCCAAAGCAAAGCTGTTGAATTCTACCTCTTTGCCTAACAAGAATGGATAAGGAAAAAAGTTGGAATGTAAAGCCTATTAAATGGAAAGAGGAAAGGTAGGATGTGGCACTCTATTTGTCAAAAAGGTAGTTTCTACTCCTTGCTTTCCATCCTCATCGAATATATTTGATCAGATATCATCTTGTGATCCAAAGGAGGAGAGCTCAAGGGAGGAGATGCACTGAGAGGGAGGACGAATTGTTATCTCCTTCCTGGTGTGGCCAACCCGAGGGGCTAAGAAGCACAGACACGTGACACGACACGGACACGTGGACACGTAAATTTTCAAAAAATGCAAGACACGACATGTTAAGAACATGTTCAAAACATATATTTTTATACTTTTATTATATGTATTTTTTAAACATTTAATATATCTATTTTATGTCAAATATTTAATTTCATCAAATTTATCAACCTTAAGTATGCTGTTTTAGTAAAAACATCAAAAAATTTAATTTTTTTTGAGAAAAATAGTACTCAACGTGTCCCTAGCATGTCCTCAACGTGTCCCTTGCGTATCCTCAACGTGCCCTAACGTGTCCACAGCGTGTCCAAAGTGTCCTAACATGTCCAGCTCTTTCTAGCGTGTCAGACAGCTATACGCAACCTCCGGAGAGGTGTCCGTGCTTCATAGCCGAGGGGTGTTTATGAGGTGGATGATGTGGGTACTCAACTAGAGATGGGTGTTAGAGATGAGATTAATACTCCTAGAAAGGAAAACAAAGTTGGGGCCAAGAGAATTACAGTTAATACTCCTATTAGTACTCCTATAGCTGTGTGAGCCTTGTCTGTGTGATACCCTTTGGACTGTGTCCCAAGCTTTATTGTATATTCTATTTTTTTGGTAATAAAATGATCACTTGCCAAAAAGCTGCAGATCTAGGCCTACTTTTCCTAGGCACAGGCTGAAGCCCAAAGAAGGGAGAGAGAGTGGCCCACCACCGATTAAAGACTAGTCAGAAACCAGGTACTCATGCTAATCAAAGAAAAACAGATAAACATGAATTATTTGGGGGCTAATTAGGCAGTTGGGATAAAAATTTAAATGCCTATTCAATGTTAGTAATAAGTTAAATCCTTTAGACTTCAACTTTCGGCCCATTTTAGTGAAACTTATTTTTAAGTAAAGTTAATTATACACACTTAACTATAACATCACCTAGGCTATGTTTGGTTCATGGCTTTGGGTAGGAATTTGGAAAGGAAAATAGAAAAAGTGTGTGAAATATAGTTATATGTGAATTTTCATTCACAGTCACCTACCTTTTCCATTTCTATTTCCATTTCCATTTCCCTTTCCAAATCCTTCACTAAATCTTTGAACCAAACACAACATTAATCTATTCAGTAATACTTAATTGCATTATCACACAAGTCATTTGTCTTTCAAATGAAGCAAAATAATATATAACGTAGAAAGGGTGTCCATGAAACATAAAACTGAGCAACTAAATTGGAATAAGATTTGAAAAAAGAAAAAAGAAAATAAAGGATTAAAAGCTTACCATTGTCCCTAGTGTTTTTCAGCCCAAGATAGTGACCAGGTGTGGGAGATCTGGGCCGCTTCCTCCGAGACTGAAAATAAATATATGACCTCAAATTCAATGTATTGGTGATATGATTCAACTTCAACAAATCGTGTACCCCATCAATAAAAAATACTAACAGAATACACACCATGAAATATCATTAAAACCACTTTACAAGAGAAAAAACTGGTGCAAAAAACTGTAAGCAGCCTTAATAACACAGAAAAACAAAAACGACCCTGAGAAAAAAAATATATATATATATTTGGGCATATACGACTAGTATCCATCAAATGAATGCCAGGTATAAGGTACCATAAAAGTCTGATTAGAATGTTGATGGTAATGTCCGATGATTAGTTGAGAGTTGAAACAAATTGCTGAGGTTGTATAGTAGTTGATCAATATAGTTGCTATGTTAAGTTGATCAGATGCATGTGAAAGGCTGTTTTAGCTGGCCATTGTGATCAAGCTGTTTCACTTAATTGTTGATATGGATGATCTCATCATCTGATTGCTGCCAACATAGCTGACGCAATGTCTTCTGAATATAACCAGAAACCTCCAAGTCAAGACGAAAGTTAACCAATCAAAATAGGTGATTCTACACCACCCAAGGAACAAGGACTTACCCTCTCCACGGTAATGCATCGGCCATCTAGAACTGACTGATGGAGATGTTTAACGCAGCGGTTGGCATCATCAAGAGTTTCCATTGTGATAAAGGCAAAACCACGAGAGGCACGTGTACGGGGCTCCACAACCAGAAAACATGAACTTACCTAGAACAAAAAGAAAATCGCATAGCTAAATAAGGCCATAAGCAATAAACAGAAAACAGTTAAATGGCTTTTTCTTAACTTAACAACAATATAAAATATTAGTTACAAAATATTCCCAAAAATATCCATTATTGATGACAAGAAAATCAGTTATGGTGAAAACACATTTCATAACTTGTAGCATTGCGCGCACACACACACAGAGAACACATTCTACAACTCCCCAATAACAGGAGGAATCTCTTATCTTTCATGAAAAGTCACAGAAAGTAAACTATACTGTTTTGCTCATCTTAACAATTATAAGTTTATAATTCAATAACAGCAGCTATTTAAACAAGTGTCCTCAGAATCATTTAACATTTCTAGTACAAAAGCAAAGGTATACAGGAGCCTCACAATGTAATAGTCTATTACAAACCAACCTTTCCCTCCTTGGAGAAATGATCTTCAAGGTCTCTCTCTGTGACCCTTGTAGATAACCCAGTCACATAGAGTATATTACCAGGATTCACGGGATCAGCCCTGACACATCATTCATGGGTTCAGACAATAATTTCAAACTACCAGCCTCCCGCATAACAAAGAGGCAACTATAGAATGTCATAATTAACTCACAACATAATCATACTTCGAAAAAACCAGAATTATCACTTACCTCCCACGACTTCTAGATCTGGACCTGGACCTGTCCCTGTCCCTGTCCCTGTCCCTGTCCCTTGGCCTTGACCAGGACCCAGATCTGGACCTAGACCTTGACCTGGATCTAGATCGAGATTGTATGCCACGGGGAGGAGGAGACCGCGAATACCTGATACATCCAGTGCAAATAACATCAGATAGAAGGTAACAGAGAGTTGGAGAAGGGGTTAAAAGTTTAACAATTTAATCAAATAAACGGCAAGCCTGTCAAAACAATGTTTGAATTCTCTTTAGAGGTTTCACTAAGAGCAGCTCAAAGAAATGGTATAATCCATGATGAAATCATCTTTCTAAAAGCATATCTTTTTTGCTACAAAACTGTATGGAATCATATATTCTCTCTTGACAACTCTTAAGCCATGACATATATCTATGTTACATAGACTCCTCAAAAGAAATCAAATGCCCATGTGGGAAACTCGACACTTGGACAAGAGTATGGGATACATATCCAATACTTTTCATTGGACACTTCATGCATATTTCTATTTAACACTATCATTATAGGTATATATTGTTGCATAATTGCTATAAAAAGAGTAAAATGCCTTTTTAACACTGTATGTCACATACAACTATTTTATCTCACATAATAGATTAAAAATATAAAAATATGACCATTTTCTGTTGAGTCCGCATAGGCTTGAATTTTAAATTTGATCGGTCCAATCTCTACCCAACAGTAGTACGCGAGTCCATGTAACACACATGTATATGTCATACAAAAGACAAACAATACTCCACATGAAAGAACGGAATAACTTCCTTCCTAGGGAATAGAACAAACAAAAGTTAATTAGGCCTTCAGGCATGGCCCCCATATCTCTTAATATCAACCTTGGTAAAACAAATTGGTAAAACAAACTAGCAAAGAGTGACCAAAATTTGACTGGCAATAACAACTACTGAACGTGAATGCACTTTACCAATATGTTTTTGTAGTAGTTTTAAGGTACAAGTCTACGGGATAAGAAAAGCAACAACTTTAAACTTCTGACCTCCTCCAAGTAGTAATCCAGCAACGCTCACAACAACATTCAACAAAACTTTCGACTGTTATTGTGAGACCAAGGTTTTAAAAAGCGGCCGCAACCGTTACGTAACGCCGTTACGTAACGCCGTTACGTAATGGTTTTAGTGGTTACCGCCACCCGTTACGGCCGCTTTTGCAGTGTGATTGAGATTCACAAGTGTGTCAGTCGTAGCGGCTGCCGTAGTGGTCGTAACGGTGTCGTAACAACCGTAACGGCCTATTATGCACCATTACGTAACGGTTCCAAATTGTTTCTTTCGAAAAAAACACACAAAAAAAAGTTGAAAATGGGGGGAAGAGGGATAGAGAGAAGAGGGAAGATAACAAGAGAAGATGGAGGAACAAGAGATAGAGAGAGAGAAGAGGGAAGATGAAGAACATGTTATTGATTTGTTGAAGCTGTAAGACCTATGTTATTCTATTCAGCTGCTATCACTCAACTATTTTATTTGTGTGTGTCTATCTATATATTATTTGAAAATAATAATAATAAGAAGAATAAGTGTAGTCATTATCTATTTAGTTTGGTTAAAATATGTATATATACAAAAACTTTTATTTATTCTCTTACTTTTGTCATTGTTTATCTTATATATAATAGTTAGTGATTGATTTTTTATATAATATAAAGTCATTAATTATTAAAATAAAATGTAAAAAACTCAATTTATAGTGATTTAAAAATATAAAATATATTGGATCATACTTAAAAATTTAAAGAAATTTATCAATATCTATTTTAAACCCAATAAATATGACCATGGAAAAAAAATATGTGTATCGGTAAGTTTTTTTCAAATTGTGCGAAAAATAAAAAAATTCACGGTTCCGGTTACCGCAACCGTTACGTTACGGCCTTTACACCCAGCAACCGCAACCGCGCCACCGCTACCGTTACGGCGACCGCAATCGCTTTTCAAAACCTTGTGTGAGACCCATAATCATGCATTACTTTGCATTTTAGTAATTTATGAAAAGAAAAATAAATTTATTAAGGCTGTAAGTGCATACAATTAACACATTTAGTGGTTCAAGTGCAATTTTTGTTGTCACGTTTCAAACTGAAAAGGGACAAAACCACAATTAGCAAAAAGCTAGGGTTTTTTTAATCGATTATGATAAAACTAGAGTTTTGGGCATTTCGTGCGGGGAAAAACCAAAAAAAAAAAAAAAACGAAGAAGAAGAAGAAGAAGAGAGAAATCAAAAACATCAGGCTTCAATTAAAGAGAGACAACATCATATACTAGACATCGAAGCTGTAAATCATAAAAGGACCAGTGCTGTAAAGTACCTTTTGCGAGGAGAATCAGCCTGTGAAGAATGAGAAATAATCAGAAAACAAGATTTTGCTATGCAATCAGACTTAATAAACAGATCACATCGACAGATACATAAATTACAGAGAGAGAAAGAGAAAGAGAGAGAGAGAGAGATCGTACCATATTGTTTCGCGACGAGAGGAAGAACCCTAGAGAGCGAGATCGAGGGCCGAAGAGGGGTTTTGTCGAATGAGGGAGCTTCGGGTAGGCTGGTTTTTCTCCTCTCGCAAGCGTGAAGAGGAGAGAGAATGTAAACCTAAAAATAGGGCCTTTTAAATAGGGCCTTTTAGTTAGAGGAAAAACTAGCATATGAATGCAAGGCTAAGGCCAAGTTTGAATAAGCGTATTTTTTTATTTTTTTTGCATTATGTGTAAAAAAGATAGAGAGAAATGTTGATTGATTTGATTTAAAAAAGATAAAAATATGAAATAAGTACACTTTTTTAAGTTAGCTAAACTTGGCCTAAATAATAATATAAAGAATAGTTTATAATAAATTAAATTTTAAGCATTATACTAAACATGAGGAAAAACTAGCATATGAATGCAAAGCTAAATAATAATATAAAGAATAGTTTACAATAAATTAAATTTTAAGCATTATACTAAACATTAGTTGGCCTCATGCGCTTCGCGCGTGACACCGCGTCACTGTTACATTATAAACTAAAATAAAAAGTAAATACAAAAGTGGTTGTTTAAATATTAAGTAAAGAAAAGATGACGACAAAATATCAATAATTAAAATTATTTAAATTGATCGAAATGGTAAGAAGAAGCATGTGACCGAGCAGAAATTTTCAAAAGAATTCATGTGTTATCCAAAAAAAAATCAGAGAACTATTCTATGTGAAATACTGTAAAAAAATATATTATCAAAAGTATGACTACCACATAAATGACACTAGAATGCAAATTTTCTGCATTTGTAAATAGCGTACCGAGAATAATTTCATGTGCACCTCTATAGTAAGAGCTTATCAATGTTCCAAACCTCTCATGTCTAGTTGCAAACCAAAAAATTTAATAGCCTCATATCTGAATATTGATTAATATATGTTTGAATAAAATAAGGCCTAGTTTAGGAAGACTAAATAAGTACACTTTTTGACTTTTTATGAAATATGGGTTGTGTTTGGGTTGGGTTTGAAGTGATGCGTTAGAGAGGTGATGTGACTTAAATAGAATAGTGACTTTTTGACTTTTTGTCTTTTTTCAATCATGCCAAACTTGGCTTAAGTTCAGTAAAGTTTGTCCAGAAAAAAACTTTTCTAAATTGTTGTTTTTGTTTGTGTTTCTGTTTTGAAGGATAGATATACATGTCAATATCTAATTTTAAGGGCTCTCATTCGACAACTCCGAAACCACTTGAATTTGCAAAAACACTTCAGCAATTATTTTTTATCTCAACTTTTCATAAAGGCAGCCGTAAGGTTTTGGTATTGGAAAGTAGCTATTTTAGCGATAGTTTTAGTTATTGGGATCCAATAAATTTTCCACATTGAATAAACAAAATAGTTCCACATAACAAGTCATCTATGTTAATTACCTGTGTCCCAAATCGTAAGTTTCAGTCTTTTTCCACCAACTGTTAGCAGCTTGATCTCGAAATCCACACATGGAAATGGTCATAGCAAGGACTTTAAGCTCAATATTTAATGAATTAAAATAAAAAATGAGTAAAGCCCATCAAAAGAAAAATAAAGTGCACAATGATTTTTCAGTTTATATCATTTCCATTCTTCACATGAAAACTATATTAGCTAAACAAGCAAAAAGAAACTATATTTCTAAGCCAAATTGCTGCGTAGAAGTTCAAAAACGCAAGTGGATGAAAACGATTCCAATCATAAGAGAATGAGAAAATAACATAACAAGTATCAGCAACATTTGTAGAAGTAAGCCCATTTCAGAGCTGAAATTAACAAAATCACATCAAAAATAGTTACAAAAAAAATTGAGCAGCCCTGTCAAAGTAGAGAAGCTTTCTAATGTATAGGTTTAGATCCATAGAAAACAAAGTGATAGACAACAAATTTTTAATGCATAAGTTCAGTTATCCTCCAAATCATCATATCTTCTAAGTTAATATCATTGAGATTCAGTTATGAGAACAAATAAGATTAATTTAGGCAACTAACAATAACCTGTTTGAAGCGGGCCTCATAACTAATAGGAAGGTGGAATAAATGTATGGACTAAACTGGCAGAATAAACTAATAATATCTAGAACCAAAAATATAAAAGTAAAACACTAATAGAAATTTTAAAAATTATGATAACTAACAATCTTTGTACTTTTCTAAGATGGAATCGATTTGATTACCTCGCTAAGGTGATCTCCAATCTTGAGCCGGTGGTGAAAGCTTCTACAATGAATGATGCGTTGTTTAGCTCTTAAAAAAAAAGAAGACATTGTTGGACATAAAAATAAGCTCTAAGAAAATTGGTTAAATGAAGTACAAGAAGGCATAATTTTTCAAGTTAGGTTGACAATGATAAATATAAGCAAAATACCATATGGCATTGTTCTATGAGCAAGACCGGCTTGTTAGTCTAACCATTTGCGGGATGAACATGTTAAGAAGAGAATTTTGAGATACTAAAATGATTAACAAATATATAAAAGAACATTAAAATGGTTAATGTCACGACCCAAACCCGCCCCTAAGGGTTTAGCATCGTAACCGGCCAATAATCCGTGATTACCAAAGGCATGCTTAATAGTGATGACAATAATACAGTAAAAAAGGACTAGCAAAAGCCAATCAGTAATAAAAAAATGTCCAATGAGCTGTAAAAACCTAAATGGGAAAAGACTTTTATGGACAAAACCACGTTCATAGCCATATACCAAAAATACATGTACAAAGTAACATACAGGTTAGGGGCCTAATCCCCTCATCATAATTGTACATTCGAGGTCTTAAACATTCTCTACATTAACAGAGATAAAAAGGGTGAATCTGAAGCACCCCAGACAGCCTTGACTCGTGTGTGTTCGGAACCTCGATATGAGGCGCGATGGTTGGCTTGACAAAATATGAGTCTAAGTCGGCGCCTCTAGCTCTGGTCCGGTGCTTGGCCACCTACATATATATATAAATAGTGAGCTAAAGCCCAGTGAATAACAAATGTGTAAAGAGGTTAAGAATGAATGTCCATTCAATGATTGAAACAATCATTTGCATTAGTAAATCAGTTATTCAATCAGTGACTCATATTTCAAGTCGTATCAATCATTTTGGAATCATAGCAGTCATACGTGGTGCATCTAATAGCAGAATAGTACAATAGGTCTAAATAGATCGAACAGTCAGTTAATGGCCATCAATACAGTAACAGTAGTTCCAATGATAGGAACTGATAGAGATCTCTGTAACAGTAGCAGTAACAGTAACAGTCAGTTGCTATAGATGCCATGAGTACAGTTCATAAAATAGGACAAACATTCATTCAGTAAACAATATCATTTTAGAAAGCAGTACCGTTAATCATTCAGAAAATAATTGTAATTGAACATAGCTTTATAACATTGTTACTCACAGATTACTGGGCTATAGGCAGGCTAATCAGCGTCCTTGGGTGCCAAACCTACACAGTTGCAGAACGAACACACACTAAATTACACACCCAAAATTTATAACTTAACCCATTGCTCGTTTTGGTGTGGTTCTAAATCATTATCCTCATTATAATGCCTTAAACATGGCCTAGGAATGCCTAGGATGGGAATGAGGATGCAAAAATGTATTTAAAAATATTTTTCAAAACTTGCTGAAAACAGGGGTCTCGCTCGAGCGTGGTTTCTTTCGCTTAAGCGGACATGCAGGATGTGCTTGGTCGCTCGAGCGTAGACTCTTTCGCTCAAGCGATCTGCAAAAATGTAAAAAGTACTGGTTGCTGAAAATCTCCGCTCGATGCTCGCTCGAGCGTAAGACACAGTTCTTCGCTCGAACGCAAGTATTGTCGCTCGAGCGTGCTTCTGCACACGCAAAAACCTGAGAGCTTGCAATTTACACTCGAGCAAAAGCATGAAAACGAAGCTAGTCGCTCGAGCGTGAAATCCTTCGCTCGAGCGAGGAGGCAAAATTCTGGGTTTTCCAAATTTGCTCCCAAAGTTTAAACCATGGATTTAATATGCCAAAACTCATCATTTTGGGCCAATTTTCTGGAAAATACTTAGAAACTCATAAGACAACATGTTTTGAAGATCATTTCATAAGATTAAAGCCCAAGAGTGTGTCAATTGCACCAAATTTTTATGTAAACTTTATGAACAATGCAAGAACGTAACATGCATGAAGCTTTTTGATCTTGAGCTTCTCAAAATATGATCAAAAGCAATATTCAACTAAAAAACATGGTGAATTCTTGAATCACAACTGAATATGAACATGCATGTGTGAATTTTCATGAAAATAATCTCAAAATTCAATGATATGGACATGTATGCATGAATTGATTCTCAATCCTACTCTTTAGGCTATTCCTTGACTTTAGTCTCCAATTTTTCCATGAACCATGCATGTAACAACTTAAATTCACAATTAAGAGGGTAAATTCCTACCTTAAGTCTTGAATTTCCAAGTGTGGTAGCTCAATTATGCAAATCTCTCTCAATTCCTCTAAACTTCAAGCAATTACCTAGTTGAATCTAATTTTTCTTCAAACTCTCTCTCTCTCTCTGTCTCTCACGTTTTGTGCAAGAAGATGGAGGCTAATGGTGTCAAACATAGACGAAATAAGAACAAAACAATGGCCTTGAGGAGTCCACTTAATGGCAAGCATGTAATTAACTTAGGTTATATTAATTAGCATTATTTATTCTAATTTAATCATTCCCAATCGAATTTCCATTAAACCTACCATAAAATTCTATAAATCCTAATTAGCATATAACACAAGTTAATTTCTGAATCGGTCGCCAATAAGGCTTTCAATTCGCAAATCGAAAACAAAACATGAACAGATCGTTCTATACCAAACAGATAGAAATGCAATTAAAACAACACACTCACATAATCAATTTGGGATTTCATCTTAACCATTTACTTATCATGCTTAATCATGGATTAACGCTAATCATAGGTGTAGACGTCCCCAAACGTCCCGGGAGGATGAGTCCCGTTCTGTTCATTTGGGCTCACCACAGTTCAGGACTCAAAGTCACAGTCTTGTATCTAATCTTGCAGAGTGCAATGCAAGACCGATGAATCATCAAAGAGTCCAAATCCGGCAAATTATTTTTGAAAACATATTTTTTTGAAAGAAGTGCCAAACATGGACTGCTTTGCCAGA